TGTCATGCTGGCAGTATCTGCTGTTATACAAAACTCACTGCTGACTCCTCAAACCACGGTCCTTTAGAAAACCTATCAACGTTTAGCTATCTTTTTAAAGTAGTTTTCCCTGAGAAAAAAATGTTCAGCACCCTTTTCACGTGAAGAATCAACATGAGCATAGACATCTATACACTTCATCTTTTACTTGAACACGATTGTTCAAGCGTTAATATCGACGGTAATGGGACTGCGACAGCTTTGAAAGCTAGTATTTAATTTACTTAAGTAAATCTAAACGAAATAAAGTTTGATTTGTTAACAAAGGTGAAGATGCAAGAACTACTCCAAATAATGAATAAAGAAAAGTCAGGTTGCAAATCGCATGAGATCAAATCAAATTAGAACTGAGTAACCATAATCTGAATATAAAAACGTGCAACAAGTCATTACCACTGCACTTTTCGCTTCCTTCAATTGAACTTCCATTTTCTGATAGCTAGCTTCCCTTTCCTCCTCATTTCTTCTAATTACCATCTCTTTCTCTTGAACCTGTCAATAAAACAAAATTAACTAAATAGAAGCAGAAACAAGGAAAAGCATACAATGTGTTGTAACTCGTTTATTTCTTTTTGAAGCGCCTCTGATTTTTGGTTGACATCAGCAATCTAAACAGATTCAAAACTTGGCTGCTGAAACTGAAAAGGCGAAGCTGAATGTACCTGATTTAACAGATCCATGTTCTTATCCGCTGCGACTTCCAACTGCTGCAACATTGAATTATCAAGCCAAAAACAGAAAGTGCTGTGAGAACTTTCAGGCTTAGGAACATACTTTAACTAAGTCTTCGCAACGCTTCTCAGAGGCACCCTGAGCGCCTTCTGATATTAGCAAGCGCTCTTTAACCAAATTCAACTCAGTAGCAAGTCCAGAACTTGTGAAAGTCATTTCGGTCTAAACTACTCTTCTTCGCTTTGCATACAATGGTCCTGGATAAATATACCTGAGAACGAAGTTGTGCACGGCATGATTCGAGATCTTCTTCGAGGCTGATTACCTAAACATCCATGAATTTTCCATTTAATATACAGAGCCGCAAACGAAGATTTGCTAAGTGACTGACTTTAGCATGGAGATCTTCCTTCTGTTTGGCATGCCTCTTTTTCAAATCTTCAACAATGAACTCATAATCAGCCACAGTCCGCTCTGCGTGTTCCTTGGCCTTTGTCACTTCAGCCTAATTAGAGAAGGGATTATAGAAAATCTCAAAAGCTTGTATGAATACTCAGGAGACAAACTTAGCCATTCAAAAAAAGAATACTTTCTAAAAACTCCATTATTTACAAACTAGTTAGGCTTATGATATCAAAATATCTGCAATATTCCTAATACCTCGCTGTATCACCCATCCCCTGAGAAATAGTCAGACTTTTTTTAAAATTAGCATAAGAATACTGAGACAGATGTAATTGGATTTTTGATAAGCAGTCACATTCGTCTCATTTAGTTTGCTAATGCAAAAAATTAACCCCTAAAATTGATATTCTGAAGTTGCAGTGAGTAATGAAGAGATATATACACACTGTGCAAAAAGTGCAAAGATTACATAAACATGAACAAACCCAATAAATTTTTGAGAAATCGTCAAGAAACACTCACCAACTTCTTTTTGATTTCATCAACCTCCGAATTTCTTGTATTGTTATCGGTTTTATAAGCGTTGAATTCGCCAACAACATTACGAAGCTTCTCATGCAGTTCTGCTTTAGCTTTTTCCAGCTCCGTGATATTACTCCTTAACCGTTCAAGCTCTTCAGGTGATTCTACCGCATTGCGTAGCGCCATGTCGTAAATCCTATTTTCATTCATAAGAAATGAAATCCTGAAAGAAAAAATGCTGCTATAACTACAAAAATTTTCTGGAGTAAATACCCACTCTGAGTCGTTCATATTATATTTTCGATTCTGAGAGTTGACAGGAGAGAAGCCAAAGTCAGCTTGACGAACTGTAGAAGCACGAGAGCCGATTTCGCTTCTGGATAGGTCAGCGATTGGAGATAATGACGCAGTAGCATCTTAAATTTGCGCATTCAAATTTAGGAAATGATTATAGAAAAGGAAAATAAAAGAAAAATCCTCACATGGATTAGTAGGTCGTCTACATACAACATTGGGTCTATCCACTATCGGGGCACTCGATTCACCAGCTGCTTTCTCTCGAGAGAAATCGTTTTCTGGAATTTCTGGCGCAATAGCTACCTCGGATTCCTTGGAAGGCACAGAAAGCGTCTTGACTCTCTCGAAGGCAGATAACGTCTCGTTGCAGACGATATCAAAGCTACCGTCACCACCAGAAGTGGTCAAGATGGTCGGCGTCGATGAGTTTTCTGCAGGCAAACTGGCTTCATACTCAGCGGCAGATGTAAGGTGAGATCTCATTCCAATGGGAGTATTGATAACTGCAAGGGTATCATCAGCTGCTACAGAGCAAGCAGTGATATCCATGTTAACATCGCCATATTGGGTAGTGTCCATTGGCGGTGTAGATTTCGCTGCATCGGTGTGACTATCCGATGCACTGACGGCAGTAGAGGCAGAGGAAAAATATCTCGAACTCTCAGAGAAGGAAGCGCTGTCTGTCTCAACTTCTTCTAGAACGGACACGTTCACTGATGCCTAAAAAAGCAATTTCACTTGACGATCCCACTTCGTGGATACCCTTCACTGAAAAGCACTTTCAGTGAGAAATATTAACAAATTTACTTCAGATAAATTGTAAATTTAAAGTCATGAGTGTAACGAACATACCGTCACCTTGATATCCTGAGAACAACTTAAATTCCCACCCAGCTCCCTAAGTTCGTTGGCAAGGCTTGAACCCTGTAGGTATAGACTATTTAACAAGAACTTATCGAACCATGTTGTGAAAAGACGACATAAAAACTAACTTGGTTTACCCTTGCGTCGTCAGAACCCAATGGTGATGCTTTGGCATCTACGAAAACACGGACTGGGTCCTCATATCTTTCCGGAGTAATCGCTTTTGGAGTGTTTGACTGAGTTTTGTCAAAGCATGTCTCCTCCAATTTATAATCTCCACCATCTTGCTGCACAGGAACGATCTAAAATATATGGAATGGTTAACATAAAATCTACAATCTGCATTTCTGTAGCATTTTTACTAATACCTCCTTTAGTGTTTCATCGGCAATTGCTGATTCTGTCATATCACTGAATGTCGATTCCATAGCAGATTCTTCAAGGTTGATATCGGCTAACACGAGCTTGTTGACAGGAAGTTGCTAAATAGAC